CAAAAAAGAAGGCCAGTCACTGTATGTCTAATAACTTTGCACTGGAAGATACTGGAGAAAACCTGCGATTTTCGTTATCGAAACTAAAATCTTGGGACAACAAGAAAATAAGAGAAAAAGTTTTTTCGAGTACTTTCAGGTGGTGTACCTTGGACATTTTGTAAGAGTTTTCCGGCCACTAAAAAATTTTCGGATTTTGAATTCCTAGACAAAACGATCGTCCTTCGAAACGATCGCCCAACTCAAGTTCTACAAGTCTAGACTAGTGCCAGCTGTCTATCTCTCGTGGTTCAGAAGTTATAAAGGTTTTCCGAGGACATACCTATCTTTGTCCGGACGCGGCGGAGAACCTGGAAAAGTCACCTTCAAGCTCTACACGACCTTTCTTTGCAATGTTACAGAATTTACAAGCAAAGCCCTGAATGTTCATTGTCACCTCAGAGCTACAGAAGGAATTTAGGGCTTTTCTTGTAAACTCTATAACTCTGCAGAGATCGTGTAGAGCTGGTGATGTCTCATTTTGATCAGAATGTCGCGGGCTACTAACATGACTTATGAAGAAAAAGTTTCAGAGATCTTTTGGAATTTCTGGAAAACTGGTTTTCTAGAAAAACCACTCTAGGAAGACGTTGCAGCTCGTCTCAAATAGATATTTGGGATCAGAGTGGTCGATAATCTTATAGCACACTAGGTTTGGTGAATACGGCAATTGAACAGTTAGAAAGGTTCCCTCGTCAGTCGGCATCCGACTGTTAGAAATAATCCGTCAGCTTCTTGTGTTCTATTGTATAATTGTGAATATTCAGAGAGAAAATGGAAATTATCTCAATAGTATCTCATTTGTAGATCTGCATTCTTGACAAATATGACTGATCAAGAAGCTCGGTGAATGTTCTTTGACCTGAAATTTCGATAATCTTTACTTCTAATCTTACCAATTTCATTTTTTAATTGTTCAATATTTATGTTAGTATCATTATTTGCCAATGTTATAAATAATTCATCAGTTTTATCATTTATGTAGGTTGTGGAATTATCAGCTGTTTCATCATCATATTCTGATTGAAATATATTTAATTCAGTAACATAACATTTATCGTCGAATGGATAAGAATAAAAGTTTAATTGTTCTCTTATTGGACAATAGTCAAACATAAAATATCATTTATGCTTTAGCCAATAATGTGTTTGAAATGCCTGTAAAGTTTGTTTGATAGTGGTCAAAAATGATTTTGGTATACACCGATATGTGATGTAAAATCTAAATGTTTTTAATCGACGAAAGTAACTTGACAATGTATATTTCCAACATTGACCGTTGATAAATGATAAATTAGTTGCACAAAATGATAAATACTTAATAGGCGACGACGACAAAGGAGGGGGCCCGCTTTTCATTGATTTTGGCCCACTGCTTTTCCGACCTAGTCTTGATCACATTTTGTAGAGAAAACGATTTTACACATTTTCATGTGCAAAGTTATTAG